GGGAGAAAGAGGAGGAGGAGGAGGAGGAGGGGGAGGGGGAGAAAGAGGAGGAGGAGGAGAAAGAGGGGGGAGGAAGAAGAGGAGGGAGGAGAAGGAAGAGGAAAACAGGTGTTAGAAGTGACACAGTGGAAATCAGCTCTAGATGTTAAACATCTAGAATCCTGAATCTATATTTTTAGCTTCCCTTCATTCATTGGCTCAATCCAGATTATAATCTAACCTACATAATCTAAGCCCCACCATCAGAGACCTGACTGGTCCCAACAGAACCCTTCGGTACCAGACTGTAATGCTGGTCCCTGAACCGGAAGTCACCTGAATCGCTGTGTGACGTCACTTCCTGCGTGTTGGAGTCGTTCAGCGCCTGGTCCCCGCCGCCGGCCCCGCCCCTCCCCAGAGTGACAGACAGCTGCCGTTTGAGCTTCCTGATCCGCTCCATGAGGGGGGGTCCAGGCGGCAGGGGGGGGCGAGACGCCGACGGGGGGCGGAGCCGTCCACCTGGATACACCTGTACAGGTAAACACACGGATAAACAGCAAACCGCAACTCTGCGACCATCTGGAACTGAATTAGATTTACTGATCGTCTTCATATAAACACCTGAAGCCTTGAAACAGACAAACAGGAAGTGATGTCACTTCCTGCTCCTTTCAGTCTCAGTTTAACCAAACAGCTTAATCCTGTTCCAGTATCAGTTACCATGGAGACCGACTCTGAGGTCAACCTGATCCTTCCCGTCCAATCAGAGGTCAGTAAGGCTGACCCATGTTTCCATGGTTACTGTGTGAAACACAGTCAGTGAAACACCAGTGATGCTGAGGTCATCATCTCAGCCAATCAATCAACAGCTTTCAGGATGACGTCACAGATCCGTGGGTCCCTCAGACTGCTTTCAGAAGGTCCTGAACCTGGCCGCACTCTGAGTGGACCGAGCCTGGCACCGGAAGCTTTGTGTGATCCAGTTTCAGTCAGGAATTAATGGAAAATTTATATTTTTTATAAATTTTTCCTAAACGTTTTCATTTAACTCATTCATTCTTAGCGGATGTGGTTGATGTTCTTGCTGCAGGTTAAACGTCTTCAGCTTGGAGCCCAGAACCGAACCGAACCGAACCTTGTTTCTGCTGCTCACAGCTAGCCTGCTAGCCCGGCTCCGTCTACATCCTGAACTCCTGCAGTGGGCTTCGTGTTCTTCCTGCGCCCCGGCTCCGGTTCGGTAACGGCTACCGGGCCGGAGGGCCAGGGAACCGGGTCCGCTGCCTCCACCTTTGACCCGGTACCTACCGTGAGAGGCGGACCCGGTCCGGCCCGGGTTCTGCGTGGTTCGGTTCAGTCTGAAGGAGGTTCGGGTCGCTCCGTCTCCCAGTAATCCGCCGCCATGTTCCTACTCCACTGCGTCATGACGTCACATAGCCCCGCCCCCAGCGTGTTTGTAAACAAACTGGTGACTTTTGATCTTCTGCTTATTTCAATCTAGAAACTTCATAACGTAAGCAAGTCACAAACTATGAAGGTACTTTCAAAAGATTATTTGTTTTTCTATTTTTTTGCAGATTGTTAATTTTTCTTCAGCTTTACAAAGTAATCCAGTGAAGGAGTTCTCCAACTGTTAGTGAACTAGGTGATTAACAGGTCATGCAATCATTTTTCTCAGCTGTTCTGGAATAGAGGCTCATCTAAAACATGCAGAGCAGGGGGGCTGAGGACCAGGGTGGAGAAACACTGATCTAGTGGCTGATGCTTTTCCAGACTTGACTGATTTTTTTTTATTTTTTTTTACAACAAAATGTTTGTTAAAAAAAAAAAATGTTTTAGTTTTTGATTAAAAAAATTTCATTAAATTTAACTACAGAAATAATTTGTGCCTTTACCTTTACAAAGATTTGTGACCATCTGAGTGTCGCATTTGACTCAAACTACACAAAACTTGTTGTGACCCAAGTGAATAGAAGTGACCAGCGCCCCCTGCAGGCAGGCCGGTATAACTGTTCCAGGTTGGGTTCAGCTGTAAACCGGACCGGACTGAAACCACTGTAACTTCAGTTTGTTAGATTTCTGGCTCCATATTTTATCAGACAAAACCAAAATCCAACAAACTTTATTTACAACAATCTAAACATGATGAGGAGCAGTGGGAGGAGCCACCCAATGGCCCCGCCCCTTCCTGGCAACAGGAAGTGTATGAGTCCGTTTCTGTTTACTGTCCCCATAGAAACAAGTTCATGAGCTTCACTCTGATTGGTTGGAGTTAAAGATTTTAGCCAATAACGAGACGTTGGATTGGCTCTCCTGCTGCATGAGGCGGGCCTTATTCAGATGCTTCTGGGTAATGGAGTCCTTCTTCTTCTTCTTCTTCTGGATCTCCTCTTCTGTCTGGCGCTGAGTGAAGTCCCACGTCTTCTCCTCCACCTGAGGATTACAAAACAGTTTACCTGTCTGTGTCTCAGATGTTCACCTGTCTGTGTCAGACTCGTCTGTCTCTACCTGTTCTCCATCTCTGTGCTGTTTCTTCCTCCAGTGTTCCAGGTGGGCACTCTTCTCCACATTGCTCAGGTAGAAGCTGGTCTCTTTCTTGGCCTGAGAGACTTCGGCCCGGAGCCTCTGCTGCAGCACTGTCTGCTCATAGGCCAGCCGCTCGCTCAGGTGAGTCCAGTGGAACCTGTGCAGGTACTTCAGAGACAGACAGACGTCGACAGGTGAGACTCTGACAGAGCGCTGTTCCAGTTCCAGGCAGGGAACAAAGTGAGGAACCAGGGAGGGAACCAGGCGGTACCTTGATGTTCCAGAGGTCAGAGAAGAACCTCTGGCGTTTCTTGGTTCCCATCGGCGTGTTGTGCAGCGACAGCGCCACCCGCTTCGCCACCCGCTTGTCCCTGAACTCCACCCAACCTTCGGTGAAGTCGCACCTCCTGGAGCCGGACTTCTTCTTCTTCCTCCTCACCTGGCGGTCTGCAGGTCAACGCAGGCAGGTTAGAAACAGCAACCAGAACCTTCTGCAGCAGCAACAGGCTTTCACATCAGAGGAACAAATAATGGATGGACCTGGACCTGCATAATTCACCTGCAGGGAGGGAAATTATGACAACAGTGGAGAAACTGTAGGTTTGGTTAAAGTGGAGGCGAGGTGTTAACGAGTCAAACTTCTGTTTTCTGATTGTTAATCTTAAGTAACTTGGAGGAGAAACTTGATCTGATCTCCAGTCTGCAGAGCAGAGAGTCGCCTGCATAACCACAAAAACTGATGTTTGCAGGATGTGGCCAACAGGAAGCATGAAAATATGAATAAAAGGGGCAATAATCCCCCAAGGCTCATTCCTCCTATTTAGTATCCACTGGCTGAGGTTATAGCAATAAAATTAATTACTATGGCGATGCAGATAATACACAGCTCTACATTATGATGTCACCAGGTGACTGAGAACCATCCAATCACTGCACAGAAGCTGAGAACAGGTAAACGTGTGGATGTGACAAAACGTTCTCCAGCTGAACAGAAACTGAAGTTATTATTATTATTGTAGCTGAGAGAAGAAAACCAAAAAACTGCCAAAACACTGATTTTATTTAAATGAAGACTAAGAACCCACCCGGATGGAGGATGTGATCCACAATCACTGCAACATCGATCAATATGTTGGATGAAGAGTTTGACTAAAGTAATGTTGATTTCTTGTGTCATAATTGATAACAGCAGAAAGTTCTGATGATGTAAAACTGTGTGTAGTGTGTGTGTGTGTGTGTGTGTGTGTGTGTGTGTGTGTGTGTGTGTGTGTGTGTGTGTGTGTGTGTGTCGTACCCTCTGGCTGCAGGAAAATGCGTCCGATCTCTCCGTAGGCTGACAGCAGGTTCCTCAGGTGTTTGGGGCGGAGCCTGGGAGGAACGTGGCCCAGGTAGATGATACCTGGAACACACTTCCTCTCCTTCTTCTTCGCCTCATCAGCAGCAGCTCCTTTCTGCTCACTGGCTGCTTCCTCTTCGGTCTGACTGCTCGTCCTCCTCTGCTCCTCTTCCTTTTCTTCCTCCACCTCCTCTTCCTCCTCTGGACTCTGACCTGTTGTCTTCCTCTGTTTCTCCTCTTCCTCTCGCCTCTTCATCTCTGTGATCTACAGGCAGAGAAACATGTGACTCCATGTATCCAATCAAATCAGTGTCATTATCTCAGTAGCTCCGCCTGGTGGAAACACCGAGTTCAACAGGAAAAAGCGTAAATAATCCAGGAGACAATAATAAACCTTCCGATTGATCTCTGGATTCATCTTCCAGAAAACAAAACATAAAAAAAGGTTTTAAACTTGAACCCCCTTCAACAAACAGGAAAACATCCTGAGGAGGAACCCAGAGGAACCTTCAACCCTCCAGTCAACATCCAGCAAAACTTCCAGCTGGACCCTCAGACTGCAGCGCTTCCTCCAAACTCAACTTCCTGTCGGAAACTCAGGCAACTTCCGGTTTCCTCTGCTGCGGGTCAGCCTGCTTATTATCAATAACTAATGAACTTACCTGATCAACCAGCCGCAGATCGATCCTTCATCAACAAACCGACTCACGTGGAACTACCGTCGCGTCCGACTGACGTCACTAAAGCTGCAACGTAGATTCCTGATCTTTTCAAAATAAGTTGAAGCTAAATATTTTAAACACGGAATAAATTAATTTTCTTTTTGCAGTAATTCTTATTGTTGTGATTTTTTATGTAATATTTAAAATATGTAAAAACAAAGTGAATTCAGGAGAAACTGAATATTAATTCAATTTATCAGCAGTAGTTTAATACAGAGATGAGTAGCAACAAATTTATTGTTGAAAAATGAATTTTAAGAGTAGTTTTACTGCACTATCCTTTTTTACGTGGGTAATATACATTAAAACTGAAAGTATTTCATCCAGTTCTAAAATACACACTACTGCAAATATTGGTTTGATGAGTTTTAAATTTATTTGGACATGTTTCTTCTATTTTGATGTTTTATTTTGTATTCATATTATTCCTTCATATAATTTATTTATAATTTTCCAGAATTTGGTCATTACAAGATTAGATAACAGACCGTAAACTGAATTAAAAACAATAAATGTTTATAAGTCTGTTTGTAATTTAACCATCACTGTTCCCAATGAGTTTTCACATCCCTGATGGTATTTCCACATTTCTGTTGATTTCACAGGTTTTGTTTTTGATAACTGCGTAGTACTTTGTATTGATGGAGTGAAGAAGAGCAAAGTGAAATGGACACTTTAAAGAAGTCTCCATTTCCATGATTAATTTGATCCATATAATAATTTTATAGCAATCTAAATGTTTCACAAATATTAAATTTATTATTTTTATCTTGATTGTTGTTGGATGTCTAAGCAATTATTTTAGAAATTAAACAGATTTATAATCAAAACACCTGAACTCAGCAGCAAAGCGGAAATCCTGCGGCATTTATTTTGAAAAATAAAAGCGGAAGTGCTGGGAGGAAGCGGGCTGCCATGAACGCGGTGAGGATGAGGAGGCCCGTCTCCAGCTTGAGTTTGGGCTCCAGTTTGAAGGGAAAGCTGGTGAGAGCTGGTTTCCAGTTCGTCACAGATATGCAGGACCTGAACCCGGAACACCTGAGCGCAGGTAGAGCGCCTCTGGCGGCGGAAACACGTCATCTCATGACGTCACAACGTTTCGAGGCATCTAGTTTTCCACCTTTTTAAAAATGTTTCATATTAAGGTTAAAACTGTTTTTCTCCATAATTTGTCTTTTGTTAAAGTTAAAGTAGAAACTAAATAAAGTTACGATTAAATTTGTTCTGTCACAGAAATTCTGGAAAAAAGGACATTTTATAGAAAATATACAATATTTTTTTCTATAGAAAATATTTTTCTATTTATAGAAACATCTAAATAATATCTGTTATTTAGATTTTATAAATAACAAAATCTTATGTCGCGTGTCATCAAACCAACTCATCACTTGGTTTAATGAGATTGAAGCTCATAACAAGCTGAGCGGATGGAAGGTTCTGATAACTTGTATCAGCTCAGGTTCTGGTTCTGGTTCTGTGATTGGTCCAGTTGACCCTTTATGGATAAAGACGATTTTTTTTTCTTCATTCAATCAGAGACGGAATAAAAGCTGAAGTGATCAGTGATTGGATTCACCATCAGAATCTGGATCAAATGTGATCCAAATATCAATTTGATTTATTACTGGCAGATATTATTTTTATATTTTTTATCTTTTTTTATGTCTAGCACAAAAAATTATGCAAAATATAATTTAAAAAAAGAAAATTGATTATTGTTAATGTTTTGTCATTTTTCACCTTCTTGTTTTACACAAATCCTATAATTAAGTTCTTATAAAAAAAAAATCAAGCATAAAAACCAGTAAACTGTGATTAATTAAAGCGATTAATTTACAGGAGGTTGTGGTTCTGTTCTCTGTGTTGGAGTTTCATAATTTTATATCTATTTATTACAATTTCATAGAAAAAAGAACAAACGACTTTTTAATTTCTTTATTTTAATGATGTAAATTAAACATTAAAGATGTTTTTTTTTATCCTAAAGTTAAATTTTTTAATAAGATCAGCAGAAGTTATAAGAAATCAGCTTTTGT